ACTACCTCCCTAGGTTGCACATTACTATAGAGACTGTCAATTCAAAGCATACTGAGCAGGAAATTTGCAAGGAAACACGTACTTGGAGCCCTCAAATTTAAAAATTTGGACAGTGGACTAGGCTCCAAGCACACAAACAACCAACCATTCACCCGCATACATAATCGAACACCCCCCCACACTTAAGCACGACATTGTCCTCAATGGAGGAAAGATAAGGAGGGTAGAACGAAGTTACCAGATCAAGGGTGACTGATGGTGGACGGGGCAGGCGGTGTATTCCAGGAAGAGAGAGTAATCAGAACACAAACACCACACAAAATCTCACAAAGGTTGAGCTATTGACTCTATTTTTTTTTAGAGCAAAGACGCTCAATGTACAGTCTCTACTCATCATACGATTCTAATCTCCGAATCAATAACTTAGATACTTTTGGTGTCACTACACTTCCATAGTGCAAGAGGTAACGAAATATAAATTGATTTGAAGAAGTAAAAAAAGTTATGAGTTTGGAATTATAAAGGGTCATTATAAAGGGAATATAAATGGGAATTACAGAATTACTCATAATTGGTGATATTAAGGTGTTAATGAATTTGGTGAATTTTTAATGAGTATAATAATAGTGATGATTATAATGGTGGCGTAAATTTGACGAACTGACACGAATCTATAAAACGGTTGAAACCGACAAAACACTGAAAACAGAAGTTTATAATGCTCGGCTTTGCTGGTGAGATGGAACTAATCAATGCAGGAATATTTGAAGTTACTTCCACTGTCTTTTGATAAATAATTCCATTGACCAGTTGGTGATGCAGTGATCAAAGATACAATACCATTGTTTAAACGTATGCTTACTTAGTACACTAAAATCTCATAAGTCCTCGCATAAATATTTGTTTACCTTCCGGTTCCTGCCAGCCTACTCTTCCAATGAATTACTGATAAACCACATCACCCTCTGCAGAGCTTAAATGACATAGATTCAGTGTACTGTGTACTGCCTTATAGAATTTATTCATATAGAATTAAGGGAAGGGTACATACCCTTTGGGGAGCTGGAGCCTAGGGAATTCTTGCTCTATTGATCACTCCAAATTGCCCTCAACCGCCCAACACAGCATACAACACTCTTGTTTGCTGAGAAGGTCACCATCTCTCATTTCTCTTCATCAAGCAACCAATCCAAGCTGTCCACACATGATTAATAATACATGGCACAACGTTAAAGAAATATAAAAGAAGCAATCGGAATTCACATTTCCACGCTTCAGCGAATCGATCACAGTATCAAGAGATTCAGGCTCCACTGATGAAGAACTACTCTTGCCACTTGCAGGTATGTAATTTCTCCAAGTCATCAACCACGAAGAAGACACCAAATATTACCTGGTGCCTAAAGAAAGGGAAACATTTTTGCAGCTACCAACTTCTCATGATTTTGATTCTGTTTGTGTTTCAAAGCTCTGCATCACAGGCATGATGGTTAGAAAAAATAGAGTAAATAAATTTGATCAGCTGTAGAGAAGTAATCCAAAAATAGAGTAAATAAATTTGACAGAATACTATTCATCTCCTTTTAGGACTCCATTTAATATTTCTAGTTCACCAAATACTGCCACGGATGAGGAATCTGGAGAAAAAGAACGGCAACTGGAATAAGTAAAACTGATAGACCCTCTTAATTATTATAAGGTGAAAACGGACCCAACTTCTAGATTCGCAAGAAAGTGACAATGGAATTTATCCACCAACTGGGTTCACCAAATTGAAAATTCAAAGAAAGGGATCAAATTCTCTACCATCAAATCTCTAATCGATTCAGGCAGATATTATGCACATACTATATTCAGATTATATCCAGTAAGAAGCTTTACCTCTCTTTAGAAATCTCCGAAAGTTGGATGATTGAATATACTTACAGGTGAAACAATTGCTCGAGTGTCATAGTCTTAGGACTCCAAATAGTTAAAGTGAGCAGTCTAACATATCAGAAGCAGATATTCTGATCTCGGTAGCAACAATATCTACTCGACCCTCTCAAACATATTAATATCAGAAAGAAAACATTATCAAATCCAACAACACCAACCACGGCAAAACATGCAGGACACATGCTGCAACAGAGCAAATGAACTTTGTTCATTTTCACGTTCTGGGGCGTCAAATGCTACTGAATTAGAAGTTCGAATAATTCCTGGACTCCAACACGCATACACAATTTACTAAGGCTGTGACTTTGCAACATGGTTTCACTGCTACTGTTTTTCTTTCTTTTTGTTTGTTAATCCTTTGGTAAACTGCTAGTAGAGAATTTAAACTACAGAAAAATAGAGGTTCAGAAATCCTAGCAACAAATGCATGCCCGACTATAGTAGTATTTGGCACGTAAGGGATAGTTCTGCAATTAATGAATTAAATGAGGGACATGCAAATATTCAATCTTCAGATAATCCAAGTTCTAACATGATCCCTGAATCACACATATAAAATTATCATACATGCAAATATAACTTGAAAAACAATCTTCAATGAAGCCAAACCATCAATGAGAAATTACAGCAGCAAAAGGTAGTTCTTTGGGCTCAATAAAGAATGTCAGTACACCCTTAAAGCACATGAAGATCCCAATTAAAGTCAAGTTTTTCAAGTAATTGAACCTCTAGTAATTTTTGCTACTTGCAACACGCAAGGAGCACTTCCACCACACAATTCCACAAATTATATTTATCCTTTCGTCGATCAATGATAATGGCACTTGACAGAACAAAGTAATATTACTTCAGAACCACAAAGGGAGAACATAAATGATACCTAATCCGATTGCAAGAACCAGGGGAAACAAAGATACAGCAAAATTAACCCCTCCCCATGGAATTGGTGGTTGGCTGGAGAAGGGTTCGCCGCATAATTACCCAGTTCTCCTAAATTTACAGCATAATCACATACAAAGATAATAAAACAAAGACCAATTATGAGCTTGGAGCTAATAAGAAAGAAGGAAATATCGCTGGCTTGAGAGTGATGGGGGCCTCCTCAAGAGTAGCTGGAGCGATTTGGAGCGACCTTCTAGAGGCTGAAGTAGAGAAGAAAGAAGAAGCAGGGTTCGTGGCGGCGGGGGAGACGGTGGTGGCGGCGGCAGTAGTTGTGCTTCTCGTCGGAGGGGAAAGCCTCGATCGTCGACAACCTCTTCGCCACGGGTTCGGGTTTTACCTCCATCGAATCACAATCACTTTGTGAATTAGCCTGCTGCCAGAAAGATGCCCTGGAAGAGGCTTGCAATCAGAGAAATAGGGTTTCGTCGTCTTCCAGAAAGAGGATATGCGACTCCCACACCCCAATTCCTCCATTAGAATGCCAGGTTTAGCTCCTTGCGGTTTGTCCCGATTAGGGCAAGGGCAGCACAGCACAGCTCCTCTGCGATTGCCTAATCTCTTCTTCCATTCCTTCCACAGATCGAATATGTAAAAGGATAAGCAACCTCCTTCCTTCTCCTCCCTTTCACCTTTCCCCCTCTCTCTCTGTAATGTGCTTGCAATTGCGCTTCCCTTTCCGTGAATTTCTTCTCTCTCTCCTAATAACCAGTAGAAAAGGTGGACTTATTTCAGCCAAAAGAAAACTAAATGAAAATTAAATGATAACGTGGGAAACCAGGAGAAAAGGTGGGGAGTGAACGGTTTCTTAGTTCTGCAATCAGGCGGGGAGTTCTATTTTTTTCCCGCTTAACACCCTGCCACATCAGCTTCCTAAAATCACTCTATGGGCAGGAAAATTTGAATGGGGGTTGCAGTTTTACTTTTCAGCTATAAATTATACTGTTGATCCGCCACATCAGCGCCTTCTTCTCTCTCATCGAAAAACCTTCTATTTTTCTTTCCTTAATCTTTAATGGATGATTTCTTACTCGTTTTAACTTGGATTTTTTTTTTGCACAGTTAGATCAGATTAATTGTGTTTTTCAAAATGATATCCACATTGATATTTTTGGGAACAAAATTTTTTTTGTCAGTTATTACCAGTCTATACCATATGGTATTGACTGGTATTAAATAACAACATACCACATGGTATGGAAAATACCACCCCATACCAGGGTGGTATAGTATGGTATGAAGTTGGTAACGAGAGGTATAAAATTTTTTCACCCAGAAAAATTTGAAATCCAATAGATCATGATTAAATCGTTCATTCTGTGCAAAAATTTTCGAAAACGACTAAACACCGAAGGAGATACCATATGGTATGGAGTTGGTAACGAGAGGTATGAATTTTTTTTTTCTCTAAAAAAATATTGAAAATGGATATCATTTTTTAGAGCACAACAAACTCGTTCCATCTGTACAAAAAAAAAAGATTTGAAATCCGAGTAGAATGAAGAAGATATGATTCAATCAAGAAAACTAGGAAAAATAAATTATTTTAATTCTCCACTCTTAAATCTGCAACCATTTAAAAAGAGGGTCCAAATTTAATTACTCATAATTATGCACACTAAAATTATGTTGAGCTTGAGCTAAAAAAAAGAACAAGATGAGAAAATTCATGTAAGCTCAAAACACCTCAACTATTCTGAGAGACCAATCCATGAGAACTTTTGTTGTCCTAAATGAGAAAAATCATGAAAGCTAAAAAAATCCATCTCCGTTCCATCTCCACCTCGAATATCATCATTTTAGCCGAAGCAACAAATTTCATAAACCAGACAAAAATATCCCTCTCCTATTTCAGCCCCATCCAGCCCGCATGGTCCTTTCATCCTCGGATCGTTGGTATTATGCACACCCTACTCTGAATCGGAGATGAGGTGACATTAAATTCCTGGCAGCCCAGACACTATCGATTAAAGCATGTGCAGTGCAGCCATAAAAATCTGCAGTAGTGTGGACATATACAACAGCGCCATGCCACTCAACCACACGATACAAAAAGCAACGTGGAAAAAATTCGCTCATTTAGAGACCACCCCCCATGGAACTCAAAATCTGGTCCCCAATAAACAGATAATGCATCCCCCTTCCCCTATATTAACAGCCACCCGCTCTTTGAAAATCATCAGCAAAAACTGCAAGACAAAACACAGAGGTGGGAAAAAACATGGCAATGGCGTCCCTGTTGCTCCTACTGCTCGTATTTGCCGCTGCACCCTTCTCCGTCGCGCCTCTCGCCGTCTTCGAGCCCGGAAGCTTCGAGACCACCACCCTGGATGTCGGCAGAAGGGACCCCTCCTCGCCGCCAAGGCCGCTCCTAGTCACCGCTCCGACCATCCCCGGCAGCTACCCGATCCTGCTCTTCGCCCACGGCACTTACCTCCAACCCAATTTGTACACCATGCTCTTCCGCCACATTTCTTCCCATGGCTTCATCGTCGTCGCACCGCGGGTACGTAATGTTAGTGTTGTGGTATATGATTCACGATTGAACCTCTCCCAACAATTCGAGTTATTGGGAGCAACTGGTTCTTGACATGGTATCAGATTCTTCTGTGACCGCCGAGAGGTCTTGTATTCGATTCCCGGTGACCCCCCATTTGTTAAGCACATGGTATTCTTGTCTTCAGACCTGTGCAAACTTCAAGCCCTTGTGAGTGGCTTTCGTTTGAGGGGGCGTGTTAGTGTTGTGGTATATGATCCACGATTGAATCTCTCTCAACAACTCGAATTATTGGGATCAACTGGTTCTTGACACGTAATTCATCTCACAGAATTATAGAGTAGTAAAAGTTAGATAATTTCCGTATTATTAATGAATTGTTGACCAATTGGAGATATGTCATTGACCAGTTATTTGACCGGGTGCTGCCGTCGGGACCAACGGAAGTCGATTACGTGGCACAAGTCGCGAACTGGCTTCCCTCGGGACTCCCCTCCGTCCTTCCGGCAACCGTGGAGCCGAATCTCGGCAAGCTCGCCGTCAGCGGCCACAGCCGGGGAGGGAAATCGGCGTTCGCGCTCGCCCTCGGATACGCCGAAACCCCACTCGTCGACGGCGTCACCATTTCAGCAATCGTCGGGGTCGACCCGGTCGCCGGGCGGAGCAAAAACCGACGCACCGACCCGAGAATCCTCACCTACGAGCCCCATTCCTTCAACCTGTCCGTTCCGGTGTCGGTGATCGGGACGGGGCTGGGAAACAAGGGGAAGTCACTCCTGACGCCGCCCTGCGCACCGGACGAGGTGAACCACGTGGAGTTCTACAGGGAGTCCAGGGCTCCGGCGAGCCACTTCGTGGCGAGCGATTACGGGCACATGGACATGCTGAACGACTGGTTTCTTGGCATGATGTGTAGGAGCGGGAGGGGGCCCAGAGGTCCGATGAGGAGAGCCGTCGGAGGGATTGTGGTGGCGTTTCTGAAGGCGTATTTGGAAGGGCGGAGGGATGATTACGTGGCTATACTGGAAAATCCTCTGGCGGCTCCGGTGAAGCTTTCCCCCGTCGACAACATTGTTCCATACGCCACTCTGGCTGGCGGCGGCCTCAATCTAGCAGCAGCATGAAGCCGTAGCCGGCCCTTGACTTGACTTGGTCTTCCGTCAAACTTTAGCAGAAGAGTGGATTTGGTTATCCGCAATGAATGGGATTTGTCATTTGTTTATGGTGTTGTTATTTCAATTCCAATAATTCCTCTCATTATCAAAATGTCATATATGTAAGTTATGAACATGAATGAATAAAGAAGGTAAGGAGGTACTATTGTGTTTGTGGTATCCGCCGTTATCTGACTTATCTGTAAGGATGTTAATGACCGAAAAAAGGTTAGGAGAATATTACACCAAATATTGGTTTGATTCTCTCCCTAGTGTGAATACGTAAAATTTTAGATTCAGATGTCATTAGTTGGTATTAGGGCAGATAATCGGTTCGGCTTTAATCGGTTCTCGGCTAACAGTTAAGTATTTTGTGTTTACCGTTAACCGTATAGTCGATTCTCTGTTATTTTGTCGGTTAAACCGAATAACCGTTAACCAAGTGATTCGACAAGGTTATACCAAAATAATAGATCGATAATCTAACCAACACAAGACCTACTTCTTTCAATTGTGAAATTTTCTATAATTTTTCACAAGTAGGCATTTGTTCTTTTCTTAAGTTGTTATTATTGAATGAAAAATAATTTAACATGGATATATATCAATACATAATCAACTCAATCCAACAAAAGTACATAATAATATCATTCTACCATCAAACTTTATTAAAGAAACATACAACGATACTCAACTCGTAAACCCCATCAAATTACATGGAAAGTTAATGTTACTGATTCTTGTCGAGCAACTGTGTGCAAGTCTGACTTTCTACTGTGTTCCTTCTAAAACTCTTCCTTTAAATTATTCTCATTTGAGTCTAAGTCACTATTACAACTAGGATAGGCAAGTGGTCTTGTAAGCCTTCAAACACCCAATAATTTTTGGCCTATGTTCGCAGCTCATCGAGGTCTATTATTTTCGGCTCTAACTATGAGGATGGTCGTAATCATTTAGTCGGTAAACCGTTTAACGGTCGGTTATTAACCATTTAACCATCGGTTAGTTATTAGCTAAATTTGGCTACCGGGAATCGACCGTTTATCATTTAATCGGTTATCGGTGTAACCGTTAAGCAGTGGTTCTGGTTAGATTATCGGTTACTCTGTTAACGGGATAATCGTTTATAAGCCCTAGTTGGTATATATCGAAAACTAAAAGTGTAGCTTTAGACGAATAAACAAGCATCACTGCTTAAAAAAACCAGTGTTTTGTGTTGGTTGGGCAGGATTGGTTACATAAAATTGTTTACTCCGCCTTTCAATTTCATGTATGTTATTCAGCTGATGGAATAATCCTTTGATATAGTGTCTGTGATTTTTCTTGATACACAACGCATAAGTGAATATTAATGTTATTTGAATTATTAAAATCTAATTAATTGAGTTGTACAAAATGACATTTGGTTTGACATATTGTGGAACAAAATATTTCACTACGTGACCTATGCATGTAGAGGCTCAAAAGCTTTCAAAAGAAGGACATATCTAGGTGCCGGTTTTGCTCTCTCTTTTTTTTTTTCATTTTTCATATGTGAAAGTGATGATGTGATTTGAGTGATGATGAAAAATATTTTCACATAAAAGTCTCTTTTTGAAATTAGATTCTTTTTCATTCATCTATGGTCACTCGAATTGCTACAAAATTTTACATTTGGTCACTCGAATTGGTTTATTCCATTTGTAGTCACTTAAATTAGTTAAACAGTCCAAGTTCGGTCACTCTCCGTTAGCCTCCATTAATCTCCGTTAAAGCCATCCGTTTATTGCTGACGTGGCTAACAAAATAGTTGAGTCATCCATATTTAACCCAAAAATAATAATAATTCAACCCTCCACGTAAGAAACTCTAACCCGACCGACATTTTAACCCATCCGATGAAAAAAAACCGGACCCGACCCTAGTTGACCTCCGCCTTCTTCTTCTTTACCTTCGTCTTCTACCTCTAGTTGTTAGCCGGAAAACCCCTAAATCTCAAATAACTCGGCGGCGACCTAATTGAGATTGGCGAAAGGTTACTAACTGTAATTGAATCTCTGGCTTTCGTTTGCCTCCTGGAATCGTTCATTTCATTTGGGGATAGGGGGGACTATTTTCTAGTTGTGTTATGTGAAAGACCCAAGGTTCCAGTGCTACAAACACCTCTACCACAGCAGGCGATTCGGTAGAAGATCACCTCTCCAGATCCCAATAGCAGATCTCTCCGTTCTTCGCTGCTGATATTAGAGATCAAAGAGCAGCGTCGGTAGTGTTGGTGAATCAATAACGACGGCGCCTTGGTAACGATAGACAAGGAGGACCATGACAGCTTCACCGATTGGTTTCTTTGTTCGGCGGGATGGAAGGCTTCTAGGGCTTTGACGTTTCCAGAGTTGCAGACGATTCAGATCTACGGGAGCTACCTCCCTCTCGGCGTCATCCCTTCGTACTCTCTTTCTCTCTGGTGCGGGTCGATGGTGGCGAAGAAGAGGTGGAAAAGATGCCCACGGGAATCTGTGGGTTTCGATTCGGAGAAGAAAGAGGGGTTAACAGCGGCGGAGAAGAAGCCTAACGATGCCTTCGTCTTCTCGATTGCGGTCGGGGATCCCTAGCCTTCTTTCATACCTTGTCTATCGTTGTTAAGGTCTGTGTCCAGAACCAGAAACCATCACCATCGAATGATCTGGGAATCACGTCACCCTTCATTCCCACTCAATCTTGTCGGCTCTCTCTATCTCGGGATATCGCCGTAGATCTGGGATTATGATTTGGTGGCAGTAATGGTGATTGAAGAGTTCAGCACCTAGAACCTTGAATTGGCGCTAGAGGAAATCAATAAGGAAACATGTGTGGGGAAAAACACCAGTGGTCCGTCACCAGCTCCTTCAGTCGCCTTCTTTTCTCCCTCAGCGACGCGAATCGTAGAGAGAAAAGCAGAAGGCAAAGGAGGCAGATTTTTCTGGGTGGGTTAATGTTTTTTTAGGTTGGGTGGGTTGGGTTATGTTTATATGAGGTGGCAGGTTTTTCTGACGTGGCGGGTCAATTTTTATTTTTTCTTGGGTTTAAATTGGATGACTAGGCATCTCTGTTAGCCACATCAGCAGTTAATTGTCGGCACTAACAGAGTCTGATGGAGGTTAACGGAGAGTGACCGAACTTGGACTGTTCAACTAATTTAAGTGACTACGAATGGAATAAACCAATTCGAGTGACCAAACATGAAATTTTGTAGCAATTCGAGTGACCAAACTTGTAATTTAGCCGAATATTAATGTTATTTGAATTATTAAAATCTAATTAATTTAGTTGTACAAAATGATATTTGGTTTGACATATTGTGGAACAAAATATTTCACTACATGACCTATGCATGTAGAGGCTCAAAAGTAGGGCTGGCTATTTGGACCGGGACCGGATGAAAAACCGGGGACCGGGACCGGATGAAAAACCGGAAACCGGACCGTATAACCCGGACCGAGACCGGACCGGGACCGGATAGTAAACAATCCAATCCAATATTTGGGCTTAGATTTGAAGTAAAAAACCGGATAAAGACCGGATAAGAGAGCTCAACACCCAAAACTTAAGGGTAATTTGCATAAACGGTCACAAACCTTTGCATTTAGTACAAAACTTAACCAACTCCTCACCCTTTTATGCCTTAGGCCACTCAAATTCCCACAATCTCAATATAAAATCAAAACCGAATTGGGACCGGACCGGGTCAAGACCGGACCGGATCAAGACCGGACTGTATCCAATCCAATCTTCGGTCCTTATATTTTCAAAAAAACCGGACTGGACCGGATCAATTTGAGCCAATTTAACCGGACCGTATAGCCACCCCTACTCAAAAGCTTTCAAAAGAAGGACATATCTAGGTGCCGGTTTTGCTCTCTTTTTTTTTTTTTTTCATTTTTCATATGTGAAAGTGATGATGTGATTTGAGTGATGATGAAAAATATTTTCACATAAAAGTCTCTTTCTGAAATTAGATTCTTTTTCATTCATCTATGGTCCATAGCACTCTCACCCAAAAAGTTTTAAAATCACTCTCATTCATCTATGGTCCATAGTTGTTGAACCATAAAAATCCTTGAACACCCTATCTTGTCTTAGATACGCAAAACGCGTGGAAAGAAATGAAAATCTTAAACCTAAGATATTAATAATAATAATTCAACGAAAAAAGAAATAATAGTTTTTCATCATTTGCTGTTTTATACCTGACTACCTGTCACATATATATCTCAAAGTGTTATTGTTGACTAAACGTATATATAGTATACAAAATGAGATAAATACAATAGTATTTATAGACAATATAGAGCACTTTTACTATGCTATAAAACATTGGTGCTTTAATGTACAAATTGAATTTGTACCATAATGTTAAATGTATAAGTTCTGGTTGTATCATAAAAGAATTTGTAGCCTTATGTTGTGACAGTGGCGGAGGCAGGTTTCGAAACTACCTCTGTCCTCTTTTCATAATATAAATATATTTTTTTATTTAATAATTATTAATAAATATAATTATAACTAATTATAACCAAATAGTTCATTCATAGATAGAAAGAAATGACTGACTAGTACAATCATTGTTTTCATAAACAACCACGACGACATTTCATATTGTAAAAGAAACGCAAAAATATTCACGGTCTACACTATTAACTAAGTCTCTTTCATTGTATCCCATTAAACAATTATTAGCAAATTGAAAATGCTCTTTTTATCCTTGTCGTTACAATTGGTAGAATCAAAACTAGTGGAATTGCCGCTGTCACTGGACAATTTCAGGATTGTTGGAGAAAAAATCGAATAGACATAAGGAAAATGAGATCATATAGGTCTTTATTGCAATTGAATTTTTCTTATAGTATAAGAAATTAAGGGGTCGTTTGGAAGTTGCGTATGTTAAATCGTTGTATTGTTATGATCACCTTGATATAAATGCATGCATTGATACAATAGATGCATTTTGAAATTACATTGTTTGGTTGTTGAGATTATAATTTATGAATTTATTGTTATAAAGTTACTTTATAAGAAAATGTCATTTTTGTCCTCCACTTTTAATATAAAACAAAAAGAACTATGTACATAATTGGATAAAGTAAAGGTGCTCAATTATTAAACCAACAATCACAACAATCTCAACTTTTAGTTGAGATTGTACAATCCCTCATTTTTGTTGA